TTTGCATACCTAATTTGTGTGGACTTCGGCTTGGGGTATCGGATTTTTTCCATTCGAGAGAAACGTCACCAGACGGGGGACGCTGAATGGATGACAGCCAGACGACATCGGCGGAGAAAACGATGTTAACTTGTTTTGCCACCGGCCTATTGTTGTTACACAGAGAGTTAACGAGTTAATGGAAAAGTTTCCTACTAGAACCTATGAAGAGATTGGCTGCGCTGGCTATAATGGTTTGTTTGTTTGCCTTCTGACTTTTTTTTCCATTTTTTTGCGCTGGTCATGTTCACAATTAAATCGTATTCTTCTTTCATTTGCATTTCGCCAACCGCAAAAAACAATACATCTATATTATGACCAGACAGATACATCAAAAAGTTTCCAGCTTTGAGCGCTACTTCAGTTTGTTATGGAAACTGTGTTTCGCGGCGGAAAGTTTATCGTACTTATAGGCATTGATACTCTGGTTAAAGCAGGGCAAAGCCTCGGCAAAGTGGAAAAACTGGGGGAAAACTCAGTACATCCCCCAGATAAAAAGTTCTGCCAATATTTGCTTTTTTGCTTTCGCTTTCGCCATAGCCATTCCCCTTTGCCGCATTTGATTCAATTATAAGCGGATAAAAGATGGCGAATATCTATATACACCACATATTCCCATATTGGCATAATCGCATCAGGACGAGGGAAATCAGGATCTGCTGGCCAAAGCTAATTGAATTGGATTTACCGAAGCCGAGCTTGAGCTCCCTGATTGTCTATTAAAACTGTTTGCCCGGAACGTAATCTTATCAGGTAACGGAAACTGTATATATTTCCACAATAAATAATATAGGTAGGTTTAAAAGGTGATTCGTCATGCCGCCTGTCTCACCTGTCCGCCCACTCAAAGGGCTGCCGTCAATTAGCAGATTTACCAGGGCTAAAAATTATTATAAAACTGTCTACTTAGGGGTACGGGCAGGCACTCAAGACTTTGGCTAAGTGTGAAACAAATTAGCGTCTGGGCGGAAATCACTCTGCTCACAAAATAAATATATAAGTGTAAAAATAGCTAATGTTTTTTCAATATGCCAGAAAAGCGATCAGCGGATTGTGTAAGCGAGTGAAAAATATAGGAAGTTGATTGAGTCAACAATCAGAAAAATTTGGGAAAACATATCTAGGGAGTTGAACCCACAACACCTGATAAATTAACAGTTTTTCAGGTCTTAGACAAGCTTTACTAGTTTTTGATAAGCCAGGAAGTCAGGTATCTGTCATTATGACAAAGTATAAGACAGTAATAACTGCATTGCTGCAATTGCATTCCCCTTAAAGCCCCGAAAATGTGCTTAAAATGTAGCTGACATTGGCCCAAAGTTCTTATCAGGTCTTCACCTCGCCCAAAAGCCCCATAGCTCAACTGAAATTGGTTCGAGATAATTTCCCCATTCGGGCAATGCAATCAAATGACTCGATGGGCCCGGCAATATGGCAACTCATTATTAGCCGGACTTGATGGGCCTTTAACCAGCTCAAGGACATTCGGTCTCATGATGACCAAAAGTATTCGGTTCGGCTGCATATGGTCCGGTAAATTAATGACTTCACCTCAGTCAGGGCCCGTCCCTATCGAATAAGTCTTCCATTTTTGGGATTGGGGGGAATGCACACACGTGTAGGCGCCACACCGAAAAAAAACGATTGCTTTGAGCTTATATGTGGAGATCAAAAATGCATAACGCATTTTGTATTCATTTTGTAATTAAGTATTCAGAAACTGGTAAAGTTGACAAAGTGCCACCAATTTGATGATAATATGAAAGCCCTTCTGAAACTTTTATGGTAAAAGCGATTGGCTTTATAAGAAACAATTCTCGGTGCGTTGCACATATAGAAAATCACACCCAATTTGGAGTGGACATATGAAATTATCGACTGGCCCACAAATATGGGTTAAATATCATTTATATGCATTTTTTATGGTCTTATGGGGCTTAAGTGCTTTAATTTCGCCGATAAACACGTGCATTGTCTTGGGGGCAGTCTAAAGTCTAAAGTGGAGTGCAAAAACTTAACTTCAATATATTTTCAGAGGCAAAGGCACTCGAAAGCCAACGTCGAGAGTGACGTCACATGCGAGACTCAAGTAAAGTCCGATGTGGAGACAAAAGCGGTATGAAAAACCGGCTTTAACATAGACTGGCTTGGCTTACACCGATCGGCTCTTTGTGCTGGCCTGGGAATCACTCTGTTTTGGCTTTATCGCCGACTCGATGTTATTCATGCTGTGCGATTAATACGGATCACGTGCCCTGTGAGTCCCCCAGCGATGGTCGATGGTCGATGGACCAGCCTCCTCAGTTGGTCAGCAGAGTGAATAAGTTCGACGGCACATTAGCATATAAATACCGCTGGCACTTTGTTCCCGGGTATTTTTCACTAACACCCCGTTTACTCACGCTTTAAGTTTATCTTTCCGCCGAGTCATGCAAATGAGCGCATATTATCCATATTATCCAGCCGGTGCAAGTTCTTAACCCGATCATCAGATACTCGGTTCTCGGCCCCTCAGATACCCACAACCAGATAGACTGATAGATATGTATAAGGTATACACTCCCCCAGACGGAATGCAAACACCTGTCTAGAAAAATCTCGAAGCAATTGTCGCTGACGATAAAAAATTCTTGGCAATAGGGCCAGGTTATTTAAAGCAAATACTCTCATTATAAGCAATTTAAATTGAGGGGTATGATTTTTTAAATAGGTGCACTTTTAATTACCTTAGATTTCGCTAACTTGTCATAGTTGCACTTCCATCAAGCACAATTAATATTAGGTTTGTCAAGATAATAAACTCAGTGAATAATATAAATTGCAGTAGACATGCACATTCAAAACGACAATTAAACTCAAGAACCCCCGACAAAAAGTAGCAGTTCGGCTTTACGACTTTGATCTTAACTCTCGAATATTATCTACCCCATATAAAGTAAATCAGAATTCTTGGAATCTGAGAATCTGGACGCGTGCGGAAACCCTCAATTTAAGAACAAAGTGAATTCTACTGCGTTTCCCTCTCCAAAAAGCAAACAATCATTGTCTATATGGGCTTATCAGCTCATTCTGTCGTATTTGATCAACGTGAATTGTCTTTTGTGTTCCACTATCAATAAATAATCAAAGACTATCAAAGCCGTGCTTCCTTCCTTAGATAACCATTTGGAAAATGGGAGCTCCACCTTGATATTAATTTGATTTTGATTTGTGTCCCAACGCGCTCTATCAACCGACGAGCGAAGCGTTTAAACGAGCGTTAAATTCACACCCCTAAAATGCCGCTAAAAGATCGCTTTCACACTTTAAAATGCCATAGATAATGTCCACAGAGAGATCTTTAGATCGGCCCAAAGTAAATATGAATTAGTCGGGGGCTTATTGACTTAGCGTCACACGCCGTAGATGGATGGATGTTCCGCTCGGATGGGTTTTAGTTAAATGTGAATGTTCGGTAATGTTGCCATATGATCGATGGGTAGTGGACGTTGATCGAGTCCCAAATCGATAAGACTTGTGTCTGGGGGCGGATGTTTGAGTTTGCAGGGGATTAGATGGCGATAAAATTCCTTCTGTTAATTAATGTTAATTATTTTATTTTTTGAATATTTAAAAGAAATCCCATGAATATTAAACTAACACTTTAATCAAAACATTAATCTCTATAACCCATAACTTATCTCTGTATTCAACAGTCTCTCAGAATTATTTAATTAAACATTATGTTCTGAATATATTTATTCTGATCTTTAAAAGCTCTTTAAATAATGCAAGTAAATATGCAAGAATACAGACAAAGCCCGCAATCTATAATTAAATTTTAATAAAGTCATTGCATAATTAAATTTCATAAATCTTCTCGTGACAATCGCCATAATTCACCCCCAGTTGATTCTGTGGGCAAATCAGCAATTAAATACGCCATCTTTATCGGCAATCATTCATTTCGCATCTTCTGGCATTTTCACGACTCGTTTGCGAGCATCGCAGCTATTAATAAATATATATCTCTGAAATTAAGTAGGGCATGCAAACGCCGTTCAGACCTGACACCAAAAAAAATTGCCCAGATGAAAATGCTTTTCTGTTGATTTTTCACAGTCTCCGGTCGCGTGTTCATAGAAAAATATTCGGTTCGGCTCGTGCGTTCCAAAGAATTGGAAGGATGATGAAATGCACCGCTAAAAATAAGTCATTGTGGGCTATATATTTGTAAAGAGTTTTTAAAGGTTTTTTGATATATTTCTTAGATACGTTAGAAATGGACATTACTATGTAAATAAAAATTAATAGTTCACTTTACTGTTTAAAATCTCTATATAGTTCTGAGATATAACATTTTATTTTCCTAGAAAACTTCCTAAAATACACGAATTTTTCCCAAAGTGCCAATGACTTTTAGCTTGATGCCTCAAACTTTTTATGACTACTGGGAACCGAAGAGAATTTGCGATGAGCTCATTAAAGTCGATTCTACGGTCATGTTGTAAGCGGCTGATCGTCCGATTTGTGTACCGACTTCGGGGATAATGCGTAGTTATAGAAAAAACACAGTTACCTATAATCAAGGTTCATGTGAGCTGAGCGTGTGGGGATGAGTTTTAGGTAACTGACTACAAGTATCTATGACAAACTTCTGGGCAGTTCCCCCATCGAATATCTGGATTAATGTCTTATCGACCAACTACCGATAAGAAATTTTATATGTGCATAACGGGAGCGTGCCGTTTTTTCAAGTAAATGAAATGGAATTATCATACTTTCTGAGTCATTCTGGAGCGGGTTTAGGAAGCCTCGGCGAAACTGCTGTATCATCTTGGTCCAGCAAGTATTTGTATTTGTTTTTAATTTCACAATCAAAACAGAAAAAATAATAAAAGTTCCTTATCTCACGGACATATCTCATGTGCGCTATCTCGCTCTTATTCTGATTTTCCCTCTCTTTCTTTCTCCTTTTGCAGCTGGCGCCCGCCGGTGGGAATTTCATCAGCTGTTGTTGTTTATTCTGCAGCGGCAACAGCGGCAGTCGGCCTAATAAAAATGCAATTTTTATGGTTAAGAAAATAGAGCGCGGCCGCCGTTGGGTTGCACATTGGAAATTGTGCAGAAGCCAGAAGAAAATGTGTCTTGGAAAATGGAAAAGCCCGAGTATCACCAGCAGCAGTAGCAATAACATTGAGCGAGTGATGTAATACAGAGCAAAAGTGAAGCGGCAATTGGCATTGCAAAAAAGAAACAGATTATACAATTTGTGTTGCTGCTGGAGTGAACTAGGACAACAGCAGCAACATCAGCGGCAACAACAGTTGCAATTGCAGCAGCAACACTTGAAGCGGCAACAGCAGCAACAGCAACACTAGGAGCAGCAACAGCAACAACTGTAGCAGCAGCAACAGCAACAACTATAGGAGCAGCAACACCAACCACAGTAGAAGCAACAACAGCAACACTTGCAGCGGCAACAGCAACAACTGTAGCAGCAACAACAGCAACACTTGCAGAGGCAACAGCAACAATTGTAGCAGCAACAACAACGACAGCAACTGATAAAGACCGGCTGGCAACAGCAACAGCAATCGAAGCAGAGAAGCGGCCACTTGCAGCAACATAATTTCAAAGTCGGAGCGTGGGAATCGCAAATCACGACGGCAGCAACAGCAGCAACGATCATCGCAGCACGGCAGCAACATCGGCGCTCTCGTCGCTCTCCCTGGCGCTCTTTCCGCTCGCCATTCTCCCGCTGGCGTTGCTCCGTCTCGCTCTCGCCCAGAGGGCCCCTCTCGCTCGCACTCCCTGGCGAGCGGTCGCGTATATTTGGAGGCGTTGCGGCGACCGCTCACGACAGTTGTGCTTGGAACGCTTCGGAGTGAAGATCGTGCTCGTCCGATCGGTGCGCGTGAAAAATACACGGCGAAAATAAAAGAAATCCCCAAACAATTGACCCAAGTCACGAAAAATAAACACAAGTGAAAAAAAATCTGAAACTGAAATTGTTTTTTACCACAAATCTCGCACGTAAATTAGCAAGCGTTCGCAAGAAACAAGCCGCACACAAAACACATAATATTACAAAGTAACAGAAAAGATATTAAACAAGAAACCCAAAAATTGTTCAAGAGACGAGAGACAGCGGATATACCGAGTGAAATTTGTGTCATAAGCAAAGCCAAAATAAAACTGAAAAAGCCAAACAAAATAAAAGTAGTGGCCATAAGAAGTGACTGTGAAACTGTAAAGTGATGTGTGGTAATCGAAAAACAGCATAAAGAATGGCCATAGACCTCCTGATCCTGGCCCTGCTGCTCGTCTCATTCCTGATCAACCTGCTGGCGCTGTGTGCCTTTTGGATAACGCCGGGTTTGAGGACCACCGCCAATCGTTTCACGATCAATCTGCTGGCCATCAATCTGATTGGCTGCTGCATATTGGCCCCCACTTTGTTCCTGGGACTGCCGGGCAAGTCTGCGGAGCTAGCTTCTCCCGCCGGAGAAACCCTCGAATTCTTCTCGAAGCCTGGGAACCACCAGGTGATCCTGCGTCGCAATGGACAGCTGGTGGAGCAGGACGGCGTGGTGCTGCGCAAGAATATCAGCGAAAACGGCGATCTGGTGGAGACCTTCTTCAAGTGCAATGCTACTTACTGCAGAGAGTTGACCATCGACGAGCGTGGAGATGGGGGCTTTGTTATCACCGAGACGGAGACCCACGAGGAGAATCTCTCGGCCTTCGAGAGTGCCCCTACGGAGTCTCCCATCCCACCGCCAGTTCAACTGAGATGTTGGTCCATCGATATGACTGCGGCCCTGGGAGCTCTGGCCGTACTTCTTGTGGTGGGGGATACCTGGTGTGCCGTTACGGATCCCCTGCGTTATCACAGTCGCATTTCGGGTGTAAAGACCTGGATCTTCATAGCCCTCACCTGGGTGGTGGGCATACTCTTCGGAGCCCTTTCTGCCTTTCGGGTTCTGGACTTTGATGCAGATGCCTTGTTCAGTAGACAGCGTAGACTGGCAGTCACTTACTTTAATATCAGCAGCACAAACAGTATTTTCGGAGTGATCTACGCCAGTGTCTACTTCATAGTGATCATACTCCTGCCCTTTGGCTTCGTGTGCGGCATGTACTGGAGGATCTTCAGTGAGGCGCGCGGAAATGGGCTGCGCATGCGCCAGAATGGATCGTCGCCACTCCTCCAGAGCGCCCTGAATCTAACAGCTGGTCAGCAGGCGGCCCAGGCGAACCAGTTCTCCAATAGCCTGTGTGTCCACAGGCATTCCATATCCTCCGCTAGTTCGCATGGCGGAAATAGCAGTCTGGGAATGGGTTTGGGTGGTCTGCAGATGCAAATCGATCAAAGGACTCAGCCCAGGAGCTCACCCAGCTGTCTTCGAAGGGATTCGGCGGCCAAAGTCCTGCTGCCCACCATTTCCGATGATGGTGGCTCCGATGTGGATGCAGAGAGTGGAGCTGGCGTACAACTAATGCCTGTTCAAGAGCACTCCCTGTCCGACAGGAATCAGAACATAATGCTGACCCTGCAAACAGCCAGTGGGGAGATCAAGAGGAACTATTCCGCCAGGCAGTTGCCACTGCTGGGCACCTCCTCGCAGGACCTTCGGGAGGCTCATCGTCTGCAGGGCATTCGCCAGGTGCACAGCTCACCAAATCTCCACAAGTACACGGAGCTGAGGCAGGATTCCCTGAGCGAGGAGTGTGGTTCACCTCATCTTCTGGGCCACGCCCAGCGGCAGCAGCAGCAGCAATCGCAGCAGTTGCACCTGCAAAACCAGCAGCAGCAGCTGCAACACCACCACCAGCAACATCACCCGCACTTCAGTTCGCCGCGCCACCAGCAGCAGCACGGCCACGCCCTCCAGATACCCGCCATCCACGCCTCCCCCAAGGCCCTGAGTTACATGAGTTCCCTGCGACATCGTCTGAGCAATGCCAGTTCGCTTTTCAAGTACCGCGAGGAGTCGAGAGCTGCCCGGATCAGCATCCTGGTGGTGGTGATGTTCGTGGTCTCGTACCTTCCCTTTGGACTCCTGGTGCTCCTGCAATCGCGGCTGTCGGCTGCCAACTTTGGGGGATCCTCGCAGCTGGCCATCTTCATGATCCTGCTGGCCAACCTGAGTTCGCCCTTCATCTTCGCCTACAGAAACAAGAGGGTGCGACGTGGGGTCAAGCGTCTGTTTGGCCTGGAGCCTTCAGGAGGCCTGCAGCGTCACTGCAGCAGCAGTGTGAAGACCAATGGCACCAATGGGCCAACTGCAGGTGCTTCAGGAGCACAGTTGCAGCGCAACAGCAGCAAGTTGTCGCAGTACAGCAGCAACAGCTGTCGCTACTTGACCCCGCAGACCTCGCTGGTCAGTCAGGTGCCAGTCCACACGACCTTGACCCTGAGGCCCAACAGCAGTTGCAGCACCATCATTAACTTTGGTGGAGGAGGAGCTAGGGGCTCAGCCGAATCCGACGATCCACCGCCGGAACTATCACCCCCTGCGGTGACTGCAACACCGCCAGTTGCCCGCCCAATGCGCCCCAAGTTGCAGAGGGGCATCACCATCGTGGAGCACATAGCTATAACACCCACCACCCCACAAAAGTTCCAGCATCGCGGGGCCAGACTCTTCGACATGTTCTTCCGCAGCTCCAAGAAACTGCAGTCGGGCTGCCAGAGCCAGAGTTTGCCCACAGAGGTCTAAACACCAGGGGTTCTTAACTATATGTATGATATACCTTAGATCTTAGACAAACACTAAACTCGCGCTTGCTGAAGAATTCTAAAAACAGTATTCGTAATTTGTAAGTTTAGCAATTAGCAAAGACAACTGTTTGAATTTGAGTTTTAAGACCAGATCATGCTGTCCTAGAATCTTCTCATGCCAAAAAACAAAAACATAACACACACAAAGAAAGTCAAACTAAAGAGTTTGAGATGCTTTAAAGTAATACACAAAAAAACAAAGTACCTTTAAAAAATAAAACAAAAAACTGTGTACAAGTCAAATTAACAAAGTTAGGATGAACAGGAGTTATAATCTTAGGGTGGATATCAAACTGAAAAGTGGAACCAAACCAAGCCAAGTCGAGATCGTAATCAATGTACCTAAGCAACAAGCATATGAACATTTAATGTTTTTACTCAAATGAAAGCACAAACGAAGAAATGTAATAGCAAAGACAGCACAGTTTTCGAGCTCCCCTTTACTAATTTATTATTTATTGTATAATTGTAACGATTGTAAATATTTATTAGACATCCACACCGCAAAGCTTTAACTCCAAACGACATTCTGGCTAAAAACAAGAAGAGACGCAAACATTCAATTCATAAGTTAATTAAGTCAATGTGCAAAGCATATGTGTATTCTAGAGTTTAAGTTGTAGAGCCGAGTAGTCTTAGACCGAGCACCTAGTGCCGAGCAGTGCTTTTTCCACACATGGCCAACTGGACTGATTGGCCAACTTTGCAGGCGGCATTTTCATATTGAAAATGCCTTTTGGCCGGTGCAAAGTCGGCCTTCCAGTTGGCCACAGTGTCAGTCAGCAGTTAGTTAACCCTTGGTTAGCCAACCGGCTATCGAGCCATTAAGTCAATTTGCTTTTTCTAGAACTCCGCGGGCATTGCGTGCAGCTAAATACCTCATTAGTTTTAATTTAAAGTGCGAGATGGGCGGCGGCAATAGGTCAAAGGTCGGAGCCATCGAATAGTGCATGGTAAAATGCCCGATGGCCCCTGGCTTTTGTCAGTCCGCTCCAGGCCAGAAAGCTTTATACCTTAAGTTCCCCCGCTTGATTTCCCTCGGCTGCACACAAAAGAAAACCCAACACACAACACTAAACACTAAACAACCTCGAATTTATATTTCTAAAGTTTATATTTTATATAGAGTGTGTGCATAGGAAATATCTATAAATATTCATGCATGTGTGTCGGACAAAGAAAATATTTCAAAACCAATTATTGTGATGTTGAGCAAGGGGGCAACCAAGAATGTAATTTCGAAATGCATTAAAAATAACTTAAAACATGTATTAATAGTTATACTATATACAAGCTTATGTGTGTGTATACATACCTTTACTAAATAGTGATATTTTTTCAAATTTATTCAACCGTCATTCGCTAAACCATTCGATGTAAGCAAAACCGCAAATGTAAAACGAAAAGTTCAATGTGACAAATTAGCTTTTAATCCGAAAAGAAAATGAATTAATACAGCAACAATTGGTGGCTGATGCAAGTCTAATCCGGTATATTCCAGCCAAGCTGCTAATAAATTAAACAAAAAACGAAATTGAAACACAGCAAACCATACCAAACCACAAAAAGAGCAAGAAACTATT